CTGTGATGTTGATGTAGGCTATAGCCTAAGTCGTAGAAGGGAAAAAGATATGTCGCCCTCATAACATCATTTTCCTAATCTAAGACTAATTTACTGCAGTACCCCCCATGGGGTTTCTTGCTAAATAATGATCATCTAAATAAATTCTAAGGAATGCTCTTGGGGGAATGTGAAGATGTTGGGCTGCCTGTAAGATGCACAAAAGCATGTAAACCATGACCCCTTATTCAATGAACGTATATAAATATTGTTTGATGTCAAGGAAGCAGGCTTAACAAAACTGATTTAAATAAATTACAGAAGAATTATGTTGCCTCTTAAATCTCGTTTGGGGAATGAGTGATTTTGACATCTCCCCATGTTTATTTTTAGTATAGGTCCTATGTGGCCTAAAAAGGACTAGGCCCCTAGTTCACCGGATGAATGGGGTATCTTATAATTCCTTGCATTAAAGAGATGCAACTTGCTTAACAAATACTTTTAAATAGTAAATTATGGTCATTTGTTGCTGGTTTGGCTAATTTGATTTGTTCCACGAATTATGTCACTTGTTTTATCGGGATTCCGTGTAATAGAGTTCTTTCTTGTCGACGGGTTTATAGCCTACCCATGCACATTTCTTAAACCTTTAAAACACTATATTTCTTGCCCCAACAGTGGAATTAAATGGCATATAATTATTATTTCTGTCTTGAAACGTTTAAGGGAGAAACGCAATCAACATTAACTGCATTCGTCACGGATAGGCCTACCCAATCGAAAGGTTTTAAGTACGAGTGTGCAGAATGTCGTAATATCAGCATACTATTACAATGAAATAATTGTTATATGAAAATATATAAAACCAGCATACATTATTATTATCATTTTTATCATTATTATTATTATTATTATTATTATTATTATTATGTCTATTGGGCTATCATTATTATTAGTGATTATTATGGCAGCTGATGCAACCCCCCCTGCTATTAAAAGATTTCACGCAGCCTGTTGTTTTTTGCTTTTTATAGGCTATGTTCCTTAAAAATCTCGCCATGTAAATTCCAATGAAATTTGGAGAGGCAGCGAGGGGGAAAAGGGGAGGTTAATCCGAGTTGAATACATTGATGCTCTGCACAGGACCAAGGCTGTGATGATTGTGTTATCTCTACCCAACATTTGGGTCTCCCTCAATTTCAAATAGCTGCGAGAAAGTGCAGATGGAGTCACTCTCGATGCCTGAGGACATTTTTTTTTATTAATAGCTAAATAACTTCCCATACTTTCACTAAATCTCTCTCACCATTCTAGATGGATTTGTTTGAAGTGGTCTTTCGACACATCCAGGCATCCTTTTTCTTTCAATGAAGCTTAGGCTATTTCGGACTCCTAAATATAATTTTCGATTTTCTACAACTGTCTCGGAGAAAAAGCAGCACACATGCCAGATCATGCTCCGGAATATGTAATATGGCAGCCTTTTGTTTTTATTCAGTATTGCATGACTCCTCAATGTGGCTCAATAGCTCCTCTCATTTCTATAACCATTTAAATAAGTAGACCATTTATATCATGCGTTTATGGGTACTTTCGGTCGCTCTTTGAGTTGTCGGTATAGCCAATCTATCATTTCCAAACGCGTTTGCTAGGCTATATGTCTACTTTTAAGACGTGTATTAAACATCGTTTGAAATCGAATACAGAGAAAGGCCGTGTCTGGGGCCTGGGGTTGACTGACATCTCGCTATCTCCTTGTGGCCTCTATCATTTCCTCTGATCCCACTCCCAACAGTCACAAATCCCGCCTGGCCCCTGTTTGATTAGATTGAGAACCTCAGGTAATCCGACCGTTTGTTCAAGTGTCCATTTGCCCCTATCACGCATGAGGGCTGAAGATGGTGCGTGTTGGTTTAAACAAAACCAATTGTTCTTTATGAATTGACTGATACACTCCTTCCAGCCACCATTTAGGTGTGCATTTTCTCAGCACCAATGCATCATTTGAAATTAGGTCACTCATCGACCATAGACAATAGCTATGCCAATGGGATGAGCAATGCAGATATCCTTATAACGGTTGAATGCAATCTTTTAATCATTGATATGATAACGTAATAAATCCTTGATCTTGATCATAATTACCTACAATCTATTTGTAAATGTATATTGAGACTATTACCTTATAATCAGTTTACTCTAGTGTAACAAAACATCATATCATAAGTATTTACATGTCAACATAAGCTCTTTGGAAGGGGCAACGTATGCCACTATCAGCAGTCTCCTTCTAAACTTGGCAAACATGTCACTCACGCAGTGTTTAAATACGTTCTAATGCAATCTGTCAATATCAGCATGCATGGAAAACATTAGGTCTACTATTTTACGGTGCATAACTGCAGTCTTTTCTTCCCCCAAAACCCAAAACATTAGCAGTCAACTTAAAAAGCTGAATGGACAGCAGCGGTTATTTTTGAAAAGCTCAGACTTCAAACACGATGACCCCTTGTTTGGCGAAACCACCCCCGCTGTACTCTAATAAGCCTATGCATCTAGAAATTTGCTTGCAATATAAACTGTACAATTTACTTAAAATTGATATTTCCATCACCAGATTCGAGTTTGGCATGTTAAGAGTTATATGCGCCAATGCAATCCCCAAATAATAATGAAATAAAACAAAATAAATATATGAATACAATCTCGACAACTATAGCCTATAAAAGAAACCTAAAATCTCATGAATTTGTGCCTGGGGCTAGCTGCAGAGAGGGCCGTTTAGAGATGAAAGTGAAAAGAAATAAAAGGCTCAATTTAATCTGCTCTAAAACCCTTCAACATAACGTTTGTGCTTGAAACTCCAAGAGTGAGGGCTGATAGGGGATAAATACATTTCTTACCATGCCTGCGAGCTATTACACCCCTCTCCAACACAGACGCCCATTCAACAGACACCGGTTTCATTACGAGCTGTAATAAGTCTTAACATTATTAAATGCCAGCCGGATGATAGAATGAAACAAGCGCAGAGATGAGTCTTTTTAAGAATTAAACAAAAAATGGGACAGTTGGTAGCCTGGTTTCAACATGTCGCCATCAAAAGCCAAACGTGGGCAAAACATTTACAGAGGGTTTGTGAGACCATTTAATTTCCAAAAGAACACAGAAGCTACAATGGGGCCTATGGGTTAATGTAAATTATAGGCCATCAATCCATAACTTATACAGCCTAATCATAGTCACTTTCACACGGTGTATGCATGGTCTAGGCTACTGACAAATAGGCCTATGACAACGTGGTTTGAAGCCAATCTGGCTAAAGATTTCTAACGAAGAATTGTGGTTTAATCAAAAGCACTACAGCACCCGCTGGCCCCTGAATCGGGTCAATTGTTGGCGGGTCAATTGTTGGCAGTGGAACCCGTTTTAACACGGCTGTCGAGCTATCATGGAGAGGCGTTCTGTCTGCAAACGACATTATCACACAGCGATACGTAAAACAAACAGTAGTCCATAATGAACTGGTGTCACGTCCCATTGGTCAGTTATGTACAGATTTACTAACAAGGTGCAGGCACTTCATGCTCGAGATAAACCAACAACACAGGCCATTTCATGACACGACCCCATAGACAACAAACTATAAACATCTATCAATTAATGGCTTTGTGAAATAAATTAAGAGTATGTTATCGGCTAGTCTACATTCACTTACAGACCCATTTACCCCACCCCTTTCATTGAGAAAACATCAGTAAGGGTTCAGCTAGAACACAAAATAGCTCGATTCCAAAAAGCATATGCATTTCCAAACAACAATCCAAACACATTTTGCACCCTCCATTGCTTAATCTATTCCAACAGACGATTTTATAATATTACAAAACTATCTACCAGCAGGGTGGATTGAATAATTCATTCGCCTTTCGTTCTCCTCTTGGCCTTTTGTCCAAAGTTTTCTCCCCCTTTCTTTACGTTTTTTTTAGTGTGAAAAAACGTCCCACTCCTCCTTTCGCTGCCCTGCTTTGGAGGGTTTTGCCTTTGTACCTCAGAATCCTTGCCTTCAATGGAGTGGAAGTCTTGAAAACTGAAGTTCATCTTCAAGTTTAGAGAGGCTGTCGCTTTAGAGAAAGGCTTTTTGTGCGACCGTTTAAACAACAGATAGGCTACAAAATGGTTGATCATTTCATTTGGAAATCCCTGTCTTTTTTCAGACACAGGATCTAATGTATTTTGACTAGATAATACCGAGGTCCCCTCAAAAAAGCGCCAGGACAAAAGACAAAACCCTCCTTTGTAGCCTAAATATTCCACACAAAAATATATATGTTTAAAATTGACCCAAAAAATGACAACTTAAAAAGTGTAACAAATAATAAGCCGTTTTCAAATAGGCCTAGGTCTAAACACAAATGAATATATATCCTAATAAAAAAAACGAATTAGGCTACAATTGGGGGACATTCATCTTTATTTAGCAAATCACTAGCTTCCGGTTTATTTTAGGCTACATGTTATTTAGCCTATAGGCCTATGAGAATACCCAGCTATGAAGCAGTAAACACGCGCTACCTAAATAGGCTAATGTCCAGGATCAAGAATCGCTGCAACCTGCTGGTCGTAATTGATATTGATTGTCACATCGGTCATCTGTCAGTTGCCGTTTCAAGGGACCATTTACCAGCACCAAAGGAGTCTGTTGTGCAAATGAATGCAGTCACAAATACCCTCCGTCAAGGCTCATATAAATAATTAAGCAGGTCTAGTTAAGCTTGTATTGGCAAACAGCTTAACATCACGAAAAAAATCACAAATGTGTGCAAAAGAGCAATTAGGTCCGTTTTAAATTAATGAAGTGTATTCCATGAACAAGAAGGCAACACTATCTCAGGCATACACCTGCAAAACACACAATGCTGAACAAAATATTGCAACATATTGAGCACATAGGATATTGTGCATAGACCTATAAGAGGGTGTTTTAAAACGCGAATGTAATCCAATTAAATTAGCCTACCTTTATCGCCAAGAATGCCATCGATGCTGTGTTTGGTTTTCTTCTCTCCATCTTCATCTTTTTTATCACAATCTTCTTCATCATCTTTCTTCCCAAATCGAGCTCTCAGAACACGACTAATGGAACTCACTACAAGAATAAGAAAAACAAGGTAGGCCTAGGGTAATTGCATAGTCATTACAGACAGGCTAAACCACATTTTTTAAAATCGAAATAATAACCTAATACAATTAAGTCCAGGTGACACTATATGACTGTTTTTGGCCGACATAAAACTATGGGGGTAGTTCTAACTATTTCATCAACATAATGTTTTTGATGGTTTCATATCGACCACTATTATGGAGAACTAATTTAGTAGAACAAAATATATATGAGCAAACATCACTAGTAAAAAGGGTTGCTTACCAGATGAGGCCTCACCTGAAGGAACTGTGCTTCTGTCACACACCCCGTCCTTCAGCAGCTTGTCTCGGATCTCCCAGCTGAACATGCCGGGGTTCTCGCGCTTGTACTCCTCAATCCGTTTCTCCACATCAGGCGTTGCTACCTGCTTTTGGGTTTAATTTATGCAGCACGATAGTAGAACAGAGAGAGAAAGAAAGAAAGCGAGAAAGAAAATGAGAAGCAGAAACAATGCAGAAAATAGAAAACGAAGAATAGAAAATAAAATACAAAAAGAGTAAAGAAGAGGAGAAAGAGCACGAGAAAAAAAACTTCAGTACAGGTTGAATGCAGAATTGGAAAAATTATATCTGAATGAACTAATTCCGTTTTTGTTTCTAAATGAGTAAACTACAAAGTCTCAAAGCACCGGAATTATAGGCTACGAAATTGCTTTTCAAAGTTTTTGTCAATTTCGATAGCAGGCTAATAAATAGGTACGCAACAAGCATGGCATGGAATACAATATCCGCAAGAAATGCCTTGGATGTCCCGTTACAGATTGAATATTTGGTGGTGTGAAAACTCAGGTCCATAACGGTAAACAGTCATCATCATAATAATAATAATAACTATAAGAATAACTATAAGAATAGGCTAATCATAATAATAATAATAATATTACATGTATTTTTATATTTTTAGGCTATTAGCGTGTAATAATAACGGCTGTTGTTGTTGTTGTTTTGTGAGGTGAACTTTTCTCAAACTCACTCTGGGTTTGCTTCCTCCTATTGCCCCGGGTCGGATCGATCCTGTTTCTTGATACCGACAAAGAATTTTGGACACGCAACCGTGGGAAACTCGTAGCTGTCGAGAGATCACGCAGGGACGGATACCGTGGTGGGCCATCTCCACAATCTTGTGTCGGATATGATTTGGCAGTGGTCTTCCGTTGATGAACACTCCACCGAGTTGGTTCACCCGACCTTGACCCAGGGGAGTTGACACTGTGCAGAAGAAAGAAGGCCTACTGTGAAAACATTTCGTGTCCACACCAAATGCAACATTGGCATTAACACATTTTTCGGAATGCATATTGTTTTACAGTGCAAATTATGATGACTGTTTGATCTTTAGGCCTATAGGCTTTATGTCTGAATATTTAGCATATTTTTGTGGCATTCGAAGATTTTATGATAGGCTAATATGCATATGTGGTAGCCTAATTTAAATGTTATTAGGCTATACGACCTAGTGGAAGGCTATTGCACAATGTAGGCTAGGCCTATATTTATGTAGCCTATATATACACATAAATGAATGTAGCCTATAAGCTATCTTATTCAGAAATGAAATGTAGCCATAAAAACGTCAACATAAAGGCCTAAATCCACTGTTACTACTACATTCAAACTAATTGGACACATTTCCAATAATGCGTGAAGTGGATGAATCCGTAGCCTACTGAAATTGCAAATTACAAAAATAGGCATTTTACAACAGAATCGACAAGTTCTTTTTGGAAAAAAGGCTTGATTTGAAGGCAGAATTTGTCATTAGCCAGATGGCACTTGAATGTCCCATCCGGCATTGAAGAGGCTGTGAAGTGTGTGGCTTCGTCCGGTTTCATTATTCACCGTCATGCTGTACAAATATTGATGTAATCCTTTGATTCGTCGTTTTGATGTGTATTTTACTTTTATTTCCAGCACCAGGACACTTCAACAAATCCCGGATCTAGGATCACTTGCAAGCTTCGTGTTCTCGGAGATTTTATTGGAGCTACTTGAGCACGAACCTTGCCTGGGAGACGCTCCCATGGACGATTAATCAATGCAAATAATTTGTGCCTGTAAATGTTATTCACACGTTTGCCTATTTACATAAACATTCACATAATCGAGCACCCAGACATGGCCATTGCGAAATACGTTTGACTTTCATAAAACCTATTGTAGTCTACAAAGTCTCTCCGGAGAGGGCCAAAGGTGTATGAAATAATGAATAGCCTAACTTGTCCTTTCATTTTGTCTAATTATAGCCAACATTTTGCTGTTTCAAATGTGATTGAGGATAAAGGGCAAAATCAAATGCATTTTTTTTTAAATAAACAAAGTGCTTTAAATTAGTAATAAATGTTGCTTGGAATGATACAGTAATTTCGACAATGATAGATGTTTGTGAATTGCATGCATCACCTACCTTCCAAAGGGAAGCCCGTGCGGGGATAGTTTTGTCCAGGCGCTGGTCGCATCATTCGAGGTACTGTTCCTGGCAAAGACGACTGCATTCTACAGTTAAAAGTAGCAGGCAAAACAAGGCCAATATTTCATCGGCTAAACTAAGTCGAGACTTGTTTGTGGTAATTGTTTTGACGCTGAAAAAACAAGTGCAGTCCGCTCAGAATTTTTTAAAAAAAAGGACAAATAGGCCTATACTCATCCAAACGGACGAATCTCTGAAAACGAAACCCCCCAAAACGGTAAAACACACTTACTTCTGATGTCGCACGGTGGGGAGGATGAGCGAAATAGGACTGCTGCGAAAAAGGTACACTGTGTGCGAACAGAGGGAGGAGGGTGTTCCTTAAATCTCAAGTGGGCAAAGGTTACTTCATTCTTTGCAGCGTTTTCCTAAAAGCACTGTTAGTTTTTGATGACAAAGTCTGCATGGAGGCTGGGAGTAGTTTAAGTGATAACTTTGGTGCACGGCCTACGGGTTGTCGCGCGCGCCGATAGGCTCTTGGTCTGAGCTTTCTTTTATTCATGAGGGGAAGCGGAGTACAGCCAAGCTTTCTCCACCAATCACAAAAAACGGCATGCGACGTAAAACACATTTTGTGCCTTCCCATTCATTGCATGCCGCTTCAAAACCAACACAACCTTTCAGATTAAACTGCCACTGGGCCCTGGTGATTCTTCTTCAGTATAAGATAAATACAGTGTGTTTTGGACATAGAAGTAAACTCAATTCAGCATTTAAGTATGTCGTTTGTTGTTTCATTTACTATAGGCCTTTAGTTGCATATGGTTTAGAGACGCAGGCTATGTGTATTGTCATCTCTAATCTAATTGCATGAGAATATAGACAGGAAACGCTTTTTGTTCAAAACAACTAGAATACATGACTGTCTCATTCATTTCCAGTTTGCTCTGAACACACCAAGTCGAAGATGTCCACTTTTGGAAAGTAAGACATTGTTCTAATAGGCCTACATTCATTGCATTTGCTTGATGAACGAGTTTGAACCGATAATATCAATGATGCTTTTAAATGGCAATTATGATAATGATATGCAATAGATTCTACGGTCTTTAGTGCCATATGGATGTGACGGGGAACATATTCTTACCTCGAATAACAATAACTCATAATAAACTCATTAGGTTAGAGATACAAGTGGCAAAGTAAACGTCCTTATAGTCTAGTAAACGTCCTTATAGGCTACCAAATACTAAACCATATATATACTATTAGCCTAATTGGAATACACATGTTGTTGGTCATAATAATTTAAAAAGGACTCTGTTCCGAGTTTTTGTTCTACTAAAACATCTAGGGGCTATTGACATATACACTGAGTATACCAAACATTAGGAACACCTTTTTCCCTCAGAACAGCCTCAATTCGTCGGGGCATGGACTCTACCATGTGTCGAAAGCGTTCCACTGGGATGCTGGCCCATGTTGACTCCAGTGCTTGCCACAGTTGAGTGTGAAAAACCCAGCAGCGTTGCAGTTCTTGACACAAAACGGTGCGCCTGGTACCTACTACCATACCCCATTCAAAGGCACTTCAATGTTTTGTCTTGCCCATTCACCTTCTGAATGGCACACATGCCCAGTCCATGTCTCAGTTGTCTCAAGGCTTAAAGATCCTTCTTTAACCTGTCTCCTCCCCTTCATCTACACTGATTGAAGTGGATTTAACAAGTGACATCAATAAGGGATCATAGCTTTCACCTGTATTCACCTGGTCAGTCTATGTCATGGAAAGAGCAGGTGTTCTTAATGTTTTGTATACTCAGTGTAGGATATATTGGGAACCACAAAAGCCCTGTCGCCCTCCCGGAAAGTCAAGCATCATGCATAGGCTAAGTAAAAAAAAAACTGGCCTTGAGTTGGAGATAGGATAGGCTACATATAGCCTATTTGTACTTCAATGCGTAGGACACCTGCATAGCCTATAAGCCTATAGCCTGCCCTATTCTGTAAGTTTGACCTCGATCAATAAATAGTCTACTAATAAATAGACCTAGTGATGGGCTTATGCAATAATGAACATGGAAGAAAATATAGGTAACTGCCAAAATAAAGGAAACACCAACATAAAGTGTCTTAATAGGGCGTTGGGCCACCACGAGCCACCAGAACAGCTTCAATGTGCCTTCGCATAGATTCTACAAGTGTCTGGAAATCTATTGGAAGGATTGACACCATTCTTCCACAAGAAATGCCATGATGTGGTGTTTTGTTGATGGTGGTGGAAAACACTTTCAAGCACTACTCCAGAATCTCCCATAAGTGTTCAATTGGGTTGAGATCTCGTCATACACACACCCTTTAAACCCCCTATGCACGTTTGAGACCTCTCTTTCACTGAGATCTCTTGCCATGGTAGCCAAAATCCTGGGCAACTGGGCAGTTTTATACATCAAATCAAATTTTATTGGTCACATACACATATTTAGCAGATGTTATTGCGGATGTAGCGAAATGCTTGTGACCCTAAGCATGATGGGATGTTAATTGCTTAACTCAGGAACCACACCTGTGTGGAAGCGCCTGCTTTGAATGGGCGTATACTTTGTATCCCTCATTTACTCAAGTGTTTCCTTTATTTCGGCAGTTACCTGATTGAGCCGTCCTGAAGTGGGTAGTAGGCACATAGTTAGGCCTGTTTGTTATGTTGTTATCATAGCCTATACCTTGCTCATAACATTTTCAAAAACATTAGCGAAAATGTGAATTAGGCCTAGTCGAATTCGTCTTCTTAGGTCTAGCCTACCAGACTTGTTGATCCATCCTCATGATTTCGCGTGGCAGGGTTGAGGGAGCGGAGGTAACTGCGCGCCACTTGACATAGAGTGTTTGGCGCGAAAGTAGCCTATGCCTATCACCGGGTTTTATGGCACCAGCACACCTCTTGACTATCACACTTTGAATATGACCATCCTAGACATATACTATCTTCACCGATGCATAGCATTTTATCCATAGGCCTACATTTATAATTATGCAGGATTCAAATATCCAAATTTTTTGAAACACTGAGAGTTGTTAATAATAACACATGGAAATTCTTAATTGGTGGGCCTTTTTGCAAATAATCCAATCCAATTAATAAAAAAACGTGTTGAAGAACTGACGTGCACTCTTGGTATCCGAATAATTGATGTCAGTTATCTGTATGGGCTTAAGCGCCATGTCATGAAACAACCACTGGAGGGAGACTATGTTCCAAAAGATGGAGGTACAGCCACGGAATTAATTTAAATTAAACCAAGCAATACTACATTATGGTTGAAAACTGTAAATAAGTCTCTCTCTCTCTCTCTCTCTCTCTCTCTCTCTCTCTCTCTCTCTCTCTCTCTCTCTCTCTCTCTCCCCCCAACCCCCCCCCCCCCTACCTCAACAGCGTGTTAGGGTTAGACTGGATGTCAACCCAGCGTGGCATGCTCACATCTGCACAACATTATTCGAATGTTTTAGCGCATCCTTAAGGGAATTGTTTGATCAGGCCTCTGAAAGAGTGTGTATAGAATATCATGTAAAAGGAAGTGGTGGCTGTATTCCTACAGCGAGAACGTTTTTGTAATGCTACACATAATGTTCCCCTAATGTTTGAATGTCCAGTTTTCTGTTAGGGGAACATTCTTTCTGTGATAGCAAAAACCTTCTGAGGAACCTTTGTTGCATGTTTTTGCGTTAGAGTTAGGAGAACATTCCCTTAATGTCAAACAGAACATACACAGAACGTGGATAGCATGTTCTCAGAATATACAATATTAATGATCTACTACACTTGTGCTATCTAGAACCTAAAAGGGTTCTTTGGCTGTCACCATAGGTCTAGGAGAAGCCTTTGCAGAACCGTTTTTGTTCTACACACGTTTCATGAGAACATTTCTGTTTATCAGTTGTCAGGACTTCGCCTGATGGAACCAAAAAAACGGTTTCATTACAAATCCCACCTTGTTACTGTTAACAAGCCAGTCATGGCAAACCACTGATCCATTCATAGCTCTTTGTCTGTTGGCAAGGTTAGGGATACTCACACAGTGCTTTTAACATACAGTGTATTAAACTTACAGATTTTGAAACACTTTGACATGTTAATTGATATACTAATTGTAATTCAACAGTCCTCACCTGGGATGTGAACTCACAACCTCTGGGTCCATAGTATACCAATCTTCCTGCTACACCACCATGTCTGTGTCTTTTAGTGGTTAATCTGACTATTCTCATCATTGAGTTGATTAATTTATTTCAGCAATTGAATCGCTTTCAGTATAGTGGTCTAATGTTGATGGGGCATCTTAACCTATTTTAATGATACTCCTGAATCACTATGATCAATAAACGTTTTTCATGAGTGTACTTTTAACAGAGCTGAGATTAACTTCAAAGTGCTTTCACCCTATTGTTCACATCCTTACACCTATCAATTTGTTTCAGATCTACACAAGTGTCTAGGGATGAGGGGGTAGGGTTTCTGCTTGACAGGACAGTGCCTAACTATACTGGGGCAATAAGCACATGTCTTTGGGACAGTGGTTAGAGGGTTCTTCATAGAAGGGGGTGGCCTGGGTTCGAGACCTCTTAGAAAAAAAAAGGTTATATTGCTTGCTTCAGAAAGTATTCATACCCCTAGACTTATTCCACATTTTGTTGTGTTACAGCCTGAATTCAAAATTGATTACATTACTTTCTTTCTCACCCATCTACAAACAATACCACATAATGACAATTTTAGTAAAATGTGCAAATGTATTGTGAATTAAATACAGAAAGATCTCATTTACATACTGTAAGTGTTCCCACCCCTGAGTCAATACTTTGTAGAAGCAACTTTGGCAGTGATTACAGCTGTGAGTCTTTCTGGGTAAGTCTCTAAGAGCTTTCCACACCTGGATTGTGCAACATTTGCCCATTATTCTTTTCAAAATTCTTCAAGTTCTGTCAAATTGGTTGTTGATCATTGCTAGGCAACTATTTTCAGGTCTTGCCATAGATTTTAAAATTGATTTAAGTCAAAACTGTAACTCGGCCACTCAGGAACATTCA